ACCAAGACTTGTTAAAACCTGAGACACCACATCTGTGCTAACTGCTACAGCGTTGCAGGCTGATTTGGGCCTGATGAATTTAACTCCCGTTCCGGAGGAGCACAAGCCAGTCCAACCAGTCCAGGGTAGCAGCAGGTTACTGCTGCTAGCTTTAGCAGCAGTAACCTATCCCTTCAGGATTAGCTTAGCTCACTTGGCTTAGCTTAAATACCTGCCGTAAATCCTGCCTGAACTTTTTTAGGTTCCATAATCTTGGTGTCGCTTTTGTTGTTTAGCTTTACTTTAATTTTCTGTCCTGAAAAGTAGAAAAATACTCAACCAGTTTGTCTTATTTGGAAGGTTGAAGGAGGAAGCCTCCTCTCTCTGCAAACAAAATGGCAGCATGAGTTTAGTCACAGATGAGCCTGAAGTAAAACTGTTTGATCGTGAGCTGCACCCTCCTTCCAGTTTAGAAGGAGGGTTTACTTTGAGCCGTTTCAGTGAAAAGATCTGAGGAAATAACCCAGCGTTCTGAGGAACACTGACCTCAGATCAGATAAAACCACTTCCTGCCGATGAACGTTTGCAGATATTTTCCCCTGCTGGTGTTTCAGACGATAAGGAGTTTGACGTCTACATCTCGTACGCGAGGAACAGCGAGGAGGAGCAGTTCGTCCTGTCGACGCTGCGCGGCGTCCTGGAGAACGAGCTCGGCTACTCCGTCTGCATCTTCGACCGGGACAGTCTGCCAGGAGGGAGTGAGTTCCTCTAAACCTCCACCCTTCACTCATTCATCACCCTTCACCCCTTCATCCCTCCATCTTCCTTTGCAGCCATCACAGACGAGACGCTGAGCTTCGTGGCTCGCAGCCGGCGCCTCCTGGTGGTGGTCAGCCCCGGCTACGCCTCGCAGGGCTCCCAGGCGCTGCTGGAGCTGAAGGCCGGCATCGACAGCATGGCGCTGGGCGGCCACCTGCGGGTCATCCTGGTCCAGTACCGGCCCGTCCAGAGGCAGAGCCTGGTCCGGGAGCTGCGGCGGGCCCGCGTGGCGCTGGCGCTGGTCCGCTGGCAGGGGGACAAGTCCAAGGAGCTGACCTCCCGCTTCTGGAAGCAGCTGAGGCTGGAGCTTCCTGTGAGGAGAGCCGGCAGGGAGGAGCAGCAGGGCAGCGGCAAGGAGGCGGCGCTGATGAGGCTCATCAGCCAGAACAGCACCAACTCCCAGACCGGCCTCATCAGCAACACGACCAAAAAGCCTCAGAACGTCCCCAACTCTGCAGCCTGACCCGGAACCGGAGGAGCACAGACCAGTCCGACCAGTCCAGAGTCAGAGTGTCAGACCCACTCAGAGGATCGACGGTTCTGCCCTGGTACCAGCTGATTGGTTGGTCCTGGAGGACAAGAAGGCTGGATTCATGGAGAGCCAGAGAAGGTCAAAGGTCAACCATTTTCTGCTGAACGTGACAGTGACCTGAGCCAAGAGTCTGGCTCAAACCGGGTCAGACACTCAGGCGCCATTTTTAAAGTTAGCTTCGATAATTTGGGATATTTAGTTTGACATACGGGAGAAAAACGGAGGTTAATTTCTAAAGTCATATTTTCATTCCACCATGTTGCTCATTCATTTATAAATGTCACAGATTCAAACAAATATTTAATTAGCAAGCTAAATATTTACCTCAACTGAGGCTGCATATATTTAGTTAACTAATATTCAGCTTCAAACTAAACCAGGTGTTTAGTTTGAAGCTGAATATTTAGTTTTTTTATTCTGGAGCAAAGTGTTTTTCACCTCCACAGTTTGCAGGCTGGTTTTCTGCTCCTCGTTTTCTGTCTGTTTTATCTGACTTCAGGTTTTCTGCAGACCAAAATTCACAAATTGCGTAAAACTCAGTATTCCCCATAACACCAGTGTCATAAATCATTTTCATCTTCTCATTTCTATTTTGAACCTTTTCTGTGTGATAAAATGTTTTACTTGTTTTCACTCTGAATGTTTTGACGATCATGAATGTTCAATGAAACCATATTTTTCAAACATTTGCAAAAAAGTCACATTTATTTTCTAAAATTGGATTTACAGTTTTATCAGAAAGGGGTTAAACTAGCTAAAGATCTGTCAGGAATCGATCAGTGAATGTTCTCCATGCTCCACCTGGTGGTCAGTAGAGGAACTGCATGTTTCATCAAAGACATTTGATTGGATCAATTTGAAGAGAAACCAACATGGAGATGAAGGATTGAATAAGGACATTTTAATCCACTGAAACGTTAAAATATTGTCATTTCTGCACATTATTTAATTTCTTTTTATTTGATCAAATATCTGCCTACAGTTTAATCAGTTAAAATATATTTTTTGGGTTGAAAAAAGGTGATGCTGTTTAACATTTTATGGGTCAGTACTTTAATATTAGAAGACATTCTGCACTTTGTCATGCTTTGCTGCATCTGTTTTATATATATATTTTCTTTTTTATTAATTAAATAATATTTGCATTTATTTCTTTCATCAATCATTGAACTTTTTCTCAATATTTGCTGTTCAAAAACACGACATTTTATGGCATTGATTTCATTTCATCTTCATAAATGGATCTTGGAAATAAGGAAGTTAAAGTAATTTTCCTGCCTTTTATTTATTTATTATTCTTATGTAAATACTTATTTTCTTTTCCAGTGTGCTAGATAAACGCAGGTAAAAATGGCACGGCAGAATTTTTTTTTTAAGAAAACATTTCTCATCTCTGCTGTTAGTCGGAGGAAATATTTCTTCATTAAACATTTTTAATCCTCCACCTCAAGAAAAAAAAAAGGACTTTAATCTAGATTGACCTTAATTTATGAAAATGGTGAGGCTTAGGAAGTGAGTTCCTTAAAAAACCTTTCGCCTTTCAGGGCCTCCATACCAAACAAAATCAGTGAATTTTTATGCCACATAGTTCCATTTTATATCATAATCAAGTAACTATGTTAGTTTCAGTTCTTATAAAGATGCTGTTTATATCAAATATGAATTAAAAGAAATTTGATTTCCTGATTTAAAGCCTTGAAATTGGGCCTCTGTCTCTTTAAGAAGCTCCTGCTCTTTCTGAAGCTCCGCCTCCAGTAAGTCGTCCCAACATGGCTCCTCTATTAACCCTTTCATGGTTTTACCAGCGTTGCTCTGAGCAGCAGCTCCTGTAAGGAGCTCAGCAGCTGGTTGCTAATTGCTGCTGGCTAGTCTGAAGGAGCTGAGTGGGGGAGGAGCTGCGCCTCGAAGGCGGGGCTAGGTCCACCCAGGCGTTTTGCAGCTGAATGGTTGCCACGGAGATTAAATAATTTCTCAAACATGCATGAAAGAATCAACACTGCAGGTTTGTTTTTGATGAATAAAATACATTAAAACATGATGCAAAGATCAGAAAAGTACATTTTATTTGATCCTGCCCCTTTAAGAACCAGCAGCTCAGAGGCCTGCAGACTCCCACTAAACAAAACTTAAAGGTGGAATCGTTCAGTCCTCTGAAGAAACGTCGTTTCTGGTGTGAAGCTGGCCATGTTTGAGTCGCTTCTCCTCTGTCTCAGGTCTGTCCGAGTCCATCCTGGAGTCCATGCGGCGCAGCCGGCGCCTCCTCTTCGTCCTCAGTCCCGACTTCCTGGCGGAGAAGAGCTTCAGCCTGCTGGAATGCCGTTTGGGTCTGTACCTGCAGCGCGGCCAGCGGGCCTACATCCTGGCCGTGGTCTGCCGCTCCATCAGCAAGCTGCCCTGTGCGGAGGCTGCCCAGCTCCGCCATGCCGCCATCTGCACCGCCACCTGGCGGGGGCGCCGGTCCGAACCGCGGCGCTCCCGGTTCTGGCTGCGGCTGCGGCTGGCGCTGCCTGTCCGGCCGCTTGCTCTGGGCCGGCGGCTCATCGACAGCACGTCGTCGCACTCCGACCTGGCGGCGTTGGCTCTGCAGAGAGCTCAACGCATCCGGAACCAGAACCGCAGGGACCGGGCCGGGCGGAGCCGCACGGGCCGCAGGGCTTCAGCCAATCACAGAATGACTCCGTCCAGAGGGAGGTGCGGCGTCAGGAGGGAGGAGGTGCTGCAGCACAGCAGGAGGTGCTCCGGGTGCGCTTGGTTCATGGGCCAGGTAGAGGATAGGCGGGCGGAGATTAGAGGGGAGACCCAGACGCAGCTGGAGCTGCGTAACGGGACTGACGCCGTCTCAGAAACAGACTCCATCATCCCTGACTCCGCCCACAAAGCACAGAGCCACGCCCCCTCACCAAACCACGCCCCTGAAACCCATGACCCCGCCTCCTTCTGTCAGCAGGAAGTGGATACTTCCAGGACTTCAGAGGAAAATCGGTCAGGTGAAAAGGGGGAGGAGCTTATGCTTGAGATAGCGCCAACCGCGCCCCCAACAGGAAACCCGGCCTAGCCATTCATTTCCAAGATGTGAATCGTTCTCTGATTGAGTCTGTGAACTTTTGGACTAATCTGAAGGAGTGTGATTACCTTTTATAGGGCTTAATAGTTAACACTATTCTGGATTTAACAATGAAGAAAAGCCGGAATCAGAACTGTTGCTGCAGCATTTTAGATCTGCTGAAGACGTTTTACTGAGTTCTTTCTGCTTCCTGATAGTAAATAATTACTGCATTCCAGCCTTGAAGAAACAATTTCTTTGCGTCACTCTGGGACAAAATATTGTTAATATTAGCAATATTATGGAGGCAAAAGGAGAAAGTAGAAAACTGTTTAGTGATTTAAACATTCTGACATTATTAGTGAAGTCTCTGTTTTTCATAAACATTTCAGATACAAATCTAAAGCGGATACGCCTGCATGGAGCACGTTTCTGTCTCTACGGAGCTAAATTAGGGTCCATAAAGTATGTTCAAAAATAATCATTGGAATCTGAAAAATAATTTCAAAACTGAAAAAAACGTTTTAAACTGAAAGATAATTTTGAAACAAAAAAATAAAACATTAAATTTATTCTCAAAAGAGAAGAAGCTGGAACAGGAAAAGTTTTGAAACTTAGTGTTGAAAATGATAAATATTTTTGAAACTGATAAAAGTTTTTAAACTGAAAAGTTTTATGATTCCATTAAAAAATTTAAATTGGAAAAAATTTACTGAAAAATAATTCTACAGCTAAAAACAATTTGAAACTGAAAAATCATTTTTGACAGTAGAAAAGTGCAAAACAGTTCTTCATACTGGTAGATTTTTTTTCAATTTCAAAACTCATTTCTTGAACAAACTTTGTGGCCATAATTTAGCTCCATACGTTAGCAGCTGAATTCAGATCGGCTCAAACTCCTGATAATTCATGAAGACATCAGATCCAATCTGCTCCTTTTTCCAGCCTGCATGAAAAACATTCAAATAAACTTTAAGAAAAAAATCATGTTTCCACTCACGTTTTTATTTACTCTTGAGTAAAATTATTAAATTAACAGCAACAACTGTAATATGTGGTTTATCTAAAGCTGCTGTTAAGGCTGCCATCTGCAGGGGGCGCTGCTGGTTTTTCATTCCTTCCCATGTGTTGCTTTTTCATTCAATTAATAAATATAAATGATGGGAGAAAATCTTTGAATAACCTGGAATATGAAACACTCGATACTATCTAAGGCAGGAGTCCCCAAACTACGGCCCGCGGGCCGGATCCGGCCCGCCACGTCATTTGGTCCGGCCCCCTGAACAATGCCGGATCCGGCCCGCCTGCTCATACCAGTGTTTTTTTTCATATATTGTATTTTCCGGTTTATATGTGGATTTTTCTTCAACCACCAGGGGGCTTTTGAGCAAATGTGAAACTTACTTTCCCTCAATGGAATATATACTCGTCAGTCACCGTTTCACTCACGGTTTTTTCCATTTGCATTCTGGGTAAAAATCTATCCAAAAGTGTCGTCGTCTCCCCCCCCCCACCCGTCGACAAGAATTTCTTTGTTTTTTTTTACTGCAAAAACTAAGACCACAGAAAGGAACAGCTATGTGGCCCTCGCAGGAAAAAGTTTGGGGACCCCTGATCTAAGGTTTTGCAGTGAAATCCTTCCTTTTGGTGGTAAAATGAAGCAGGAAACATATTCACATCTTGCACATCTACCTGTTTGAACTTTGTTTATTATCCTGCCTGGTTTTAAATATGACACTCAACTCTTGAGTTTTTAGTTTGTGCAAAGTTTGATTTGCAAAATAAATCTCCCTCCTGTGTAAAGTTTCAGGTCAAATGAAGCAGAAGCGTCTTAAAGGAATCAGAATAAATATAGGAAAATAAAACGTGAAAAATGCTGAACGTCTTGTTCCAGGAAAGTAAAATCACAGAAAATGTAATTTTACAGATAAAATCAGGCTTTTAAGCATCGCATCACAGTTAGATTTCAAACATGTTGCGGCTTCTGCATGAGCTGATCAACAGCCCAAAACGAGGCAGGAAGCCATCATCTTTAAAATAAACCTCAGTTCATCTCCTCCCAGCCTCCAAACGAGAGAGAGAAGGATTTCCTGATAAAGACGGAGTGGAAACTCCGACCCTGTGTACTGCTGAGCTGGGAAAACATTTAATTCCCCATTAATTACCCATCTGTGAGCCAAGCTAATCTCTGCTGTAAACAGGGAGACAGAATATTACATCCATGTTAAAAACACTGCAGACCTCTTTAAAAATTAGACAAACTTCCCAAATTCACAACTTCTTAACCAGATAAAGTAAATTGAACTGAATAATGGTCATTTCCCACACTAAAACTGACTCCAGTACTAGTCCAAACAACAATGTTCCATAAGGTCATTTAATAATGTTAGAGGAATGGATGTCAAATATTAAGAAAACTAAATTGAAAATATAATTATTTTTTTTTTACGGTAAATCTGGATATTTAAGAAGTGGATTTATGATTTTCATTTAAAAAAAATTATTTTTCCAAGTTTCATAAATGACTGAACCAGAAATGGGGCTCAAAATCTGCAGTTTTAAATGTGATTTCCTTCCTGTTTGAGTTATTTCTGTGTGTGAGGTCCAAGGTAGCAGAAACAAAATCCTCTCATCTAAGCCTCAGTGAGTGACTTCATCACTTTGTTTGATTGTCTGTACTTAAGTTTTTACTCTGAATAAATCTGTCAATCACACACCTTTTATTCCTGGACTGAAACCGCAGTATTTCCTCTCTGATGGTTCGGGTTTCAGTTTAGAAACGGATACTGAAATCAAACACTATTCCTTTTATTTTTCTATACACATTCATTCCCTTCATTTCAGCAAACACTTTAATATCCCTGCATGGCAATTTGAGTTTTAAAGGACAGTTTCATTAAATATAATCAGATTCAAAATGAATAAAATCTAAGAAACAGCTTATTTCTTTAATTGTTTGAGCATCCTCTGTCTTTTAAAACATTAAATATGGTAAATCCTCATTAATTTGTTCCTTAACTTGTGGTTTAAAATATTTAAAATAATTAAGTAGGACATATAACAGGTAAAACACTTTTAAAACAGACTACTGACTAGACAAAGAAGA